TGGAAAAGGGTGGGCTGCATTTCTCTCGGGGGCTGTCTACAAAGGAATAAAATCTCCTCTTGCTTTTAGCTGATGCTTTAGCTCGAGCGAAAGAAACCTGCACCAGGCCCATGAAGGTTTCTCGCACAAACCATGTATTGAGTCATGTGCAAAGTATTTTGGGCTAAACACTGCCAACGATTTTGCATCAGTAAATCTGTGCTATTATCCAAAGAGCCCACAGAAACAACCTGGATTGGGCCTGTGGGAAGGCCCCGAACTTACCGCTCAGTATTTAATCTCACCGCTACATTGCTCTAGAGATCTGCTGTAAGTATCCATTATTACTCACCACCAAGAGACACACAAGCACACAGAGGAAGGGAAAACAAACCAAAAACAAAATAAACACCCTGCTTGCATCATTCTCACCTAAGACCAAAATCAGTTTCTCTGATTCATTCTGCTTCTATTTGGATCTGGACCAGGTAGCCTTGTGTAGCTGCTAGGCAACCTGAACACTGTCTTGAGTATTAACTCTAAGTACTTGCTAAGAATAATAACAATGTTACCTTTGAGATTTATTTATAATAAGAAAACACACCTAGCTGAAAATATAATAGCTTTCCTTTCTGATCAGTAATTAGCAACTAAAGGAATACAGAACTGCTGGTCAGGAAATAATCCATTCGTATACCCTACATGCAGAGAGAGATTATAAATCAGCTCCTTATAAATTTATCATAAGGAAGTACTTTCTAAAAAACATTTTTAAAGATGTTAGTGCTATAAAATTCTAATCTAAGAGTTACATATATGCAGACATTAGAATATCTACATAATGTTAATATTTATACATAAAATATTTTAAATGATAAAGGATAATTACCAAACTTCGTCCAACTACAAAATGAACTTTCTCACTAGAAGTCATGTATTCAATTTACATACAGCCACCATTCCTAAACAAGACAGAAAAGCCTTAGAAGATTTAACATTAAACAGAATCTGCTGACTGCATGTTAACAAAAATAATAATAAAAAACCAAAATTAAAAAACACCAAAACATTATTTCACTTAATCCTTCTCAGAACTATTTTACTGTTTTGCTCTCTGGCCAGCAGAACTGCATTCTTCCTTAAAAATATCATGAATATCTTTGATATGTCCTCTTTCCCCACACCCCTAAACTCTAGAGAAAGATACTCCTCTCAAGTCTTCTCAAATGAGTGGGTCATTTCGCAGACTGCTATGTGACTAGCACAACTGTTAGGAATCTTATTATAAATACCAATTTGGGTGCTTGAGGAGTTAATGCCAACAGAGCAAACAGGCTCGCTGATTACATTAAAAGTGAACAGAGCAGTACTCTGTTCTGATCATTACATCTGACAGCTTATTATATCCTGATGCATAAAATAAGGCCTCCCTCAAACCCAGCAAAAACATAAGCTAGATCTCTATCTTAAAAACACAGATCAAATTCTACTAGAGATATTAACTGCAGGACAGGCCAGACAGGTTATAACACTTGCTGACACATTGACACGCTGTTAAGAGTTTTCATAGGCAGCTGACCAGCACTTGAAGAGGTATGCTGCTCTTCTTATGCTCTTCTTATCAACAGAGGCAAAAGCAAATGGATGTAGAAAGTCACTGTGATCCAGAAAGCTCAGTGGTAACTGTTTGGTTTTTTGGTTGATTATATTTTTCTCCTCCTTTGAAACTTATATGACACAAACCAAGGTTATTTGTACACAACTTCCAGTCTGCCAATTCTCATCTGCCACAGCTGCACACACTTAAAAGAGCTTTGTAAGCATGGATGTGCTGAAAGAGATGCAGGTCTGTGGCACAGAGAATATTACAGATTCTTAAGTGTTACTCTCTGGATCTTATATAGAAATTTCAAGTGGTTAATTTAAACACTTGCACCCTCTCCTTCCTCCCTTAGAAAAAATGAGGGTTTCATATTAAACCCAATCCAGCTAGGACTTAACATCAAGTTTAGGTGCCCATAATTAAAAAAAAAGGTCAACATAGCTGGAAAGTTGTAAGTAAAGGCGAGGTGTTAAATGTCAAGTGAAAGCATTAAAAATGGAAGCACAGGGTCCCATGCTCACAGCACCTGCCACACAAGGGCTGGCAGGTCTGGCAGGTAAGATGCGCTCGGCAGCAGACAACGGGGAGCAACCACACCCTGGCAAACTCCGCTTGCCTTCTGCCTTCTTCCCTAACCCCTCCCACAGCCGCATCCCACCCTGTCACCAGCTAGTTTCAGACTCAATTCTCTTCTGGTTTTATGTCTACTAGAGGCAGAAGCTGGCAACTTGAGACGCCCTCATCTGCTCCCAACCCGTTTTGTATGCCACTGGAAGGAGCTTTACAGAGCAGCTACCACCAGTGCCATTACACTGCAGCTAGGTCCAGTGTCATTTTTGCTAGTAACAGATGCTGAAATGTAGCGAGTTCCTTCCTATAGTTCTTTCAATCCAGTAACAACTTTCCATTTACGAGCAAACTATACTGCTAGGATAAAATAATAATTCATTAGTCCAATTTGCTGTGGCTTTGCCTCCTATGTGGGGCTTTGCTTTTTACAGAAAGGGTTATTCAAGACAGACTCGTAAGTTATGTTCCAAAATAAGTTTCCAATATTTCCAATATTCCAAAATAAGCTTCTTACGCTACATGGTACACAATAGCTTATGAAAATAAATATTCTTCCAGCTGTTTCTCAAAGGTGGCTGTTTGCTTCTTGTTTTTGCAACAGAAATATTATAGCAGTCTATTTCACTTTTGTTGAATGTCAGTCACAACATACACCATTTTTCATCAAATGCTGCAAATTTAATCCCAATTTATTATCACTAAATACTATCTTCCACTGAATATGGCTCAGCTGAAATCAGAGGCACTGCCTCCTTCCATTTGTAGGCAGAATGGAGCTCAATCGAGACTGTAAATCATTTTAAGAAGTAGTCAGAAGACAGGCTGGTAAAAAGCAATTCCTTTCCTACATAGAGTTTTGGTATGTTAATAGCCCCACTACTGCATGTAACCTGTGGCACACACTGACATTACAGGTTTAGACTTATGACAGATAGAAGGTAAATAGGTCAAAACACTGTGTTTTTTTTAAAAGGGGTACACACCTAAAGCTTTTGTTAAGGTTCTTAAATAATGACACACATCAGGGATACCTGCAAGGAGCACAGAAATAAAGAGCACAAGTCACTCTGGGAACTGTCAAGCACTGACATGAACCTTTTATTGAAAATAAAGTTCAAATCAACAATGTTGTTGATACTCCAGTACTACAGATCCTTTAGCTAGCGCTCTCTGAAGACTCAGCCTGACATACTATCTCTTTCCATGAAAAGTGTAAGGTTATTAAGGCCTTTTTTTCCCCTAAAAAAGCCTTCGAAACAGATTTACGTAAAACTCTGGCTCAATTCATTTTAATTCCAGTACCTTTACACAAACCATACATCTTTCATGGTTCTTTCCACCTCGCTTTTAATCAATTTAGAGAATTTCATGTTCTGAGATTAACAAAGTCAAACATAGGACGGAAGACACATGTAATTGCTTAGTGGGCCTGAAGTCTAAAAATTCTCATAAATCAAATTCTAAATGAAAGCAAACAGTTGTGTGGCAGGTTATCTACATTAGTTTCCAAGCCAGGAGTTCGCAACACAGAGGATCTTTTATTATGGCTTTTGTTGTATCTGGCACCCAGCACCATAGAAAGAAAATGAATCATATACTTGAAGAAAACAAAAATAAAGTTCCTCATTTTAGATTATCACTCTGAATCATGACAGTCACAATAAGAAATGTGATTGCTATAGTATTACACTGAGAACTGATAATTAAAGATTAATTATCAATCTACTGCATATAGATCAATTAGAAGATTCTGCTCTTAGCTGGGGCAGGGGTTGGGTGGAAATGCTCTGCAGTTTCAACTTACCTTCAGTCTTGAACTTAAGCTTTAATTTGTGGGAGAAACCACTAAGAGACAGATATTCTGTGTCACTGAGCTATCTCCTGGAAATTGTTTAAGGGAATGCTAGCCTGATCTCTTTTACTTGAGATCTTTTCTTTTTCTGCAAAACAGAAAAAGAGAATTTTGTTAAGGAATTCTACCTGGGGCTTTGCGATACTTGAAAGTATGGCAAACCGAGCCCAGCTTTTTTAAACACGTTTAGTAATTCACTGGGACACAGAGGGTTAAGCGCTACTAGGATCAACCCTATAGTGCAAATGCAATTTAAGTCATTTGTCAACATCTATCATAAAATAAATCACTTGCTTTTCATAAAAATAAACATTGTGAACTGTTGACAAAATTGCTTGCCTTTAGTCTTCCACTCTGCAGTTCAGGAAACATTCAGGGTATTTTTTTTGTTTTTTTATTGACCTCAGATACTGTAATTCAAAAAGCCTGAGAAAGTCCCATGACCAGATTTTTGAGCAGAGGGACCCTCCAACTTACCCTCCCAGTTGATTTACCAGGAAGTCATTTCGGCAGAGATGGTTGAAGCATACCTCTGTCTTCCCTCAGAGGAATCCTGCATGGATAAAGTGAGCTTGCAGGCACGTGAGCCTCCAAAAGACAGAAGTATCTTATCTGGAGGACACTGAATAGATCAGCAGTTTGAGTTTACTCTTCAGTGCTCTCTGAATGTATTCACCTAAGTCTAGTACTCTCTCAAAAGGTGCTACCAAGGAAGGTCCAGACCTACTTTGAGTTTTGTTTCAGTTTAACAGTACACTGACTCCTGTGATTGTATAGCAGCAGCTTAAGACCAAGAGTCTTACCAGTTGAGTGAGATAGCAACACAAAGAGAACTTACTCAGCTTTACTTCAGGAATACAAAATATATGGCCACACAAAACACACGAACAGTAAAAATCCATATTAATCCAAGATCTATTTCCAAAGAAGCCACATTTTCCCATCATACCTTTGCTAGGTTTAAGATAAAGCATTTTTGACAATGTTGGCACTTACCCAAATCTGTAGTTTCACCCGTTTGTCATTCCTATATACAGTTTTCACTTTGAAGTCAATTCCTACTGTGCTAACAAAGGCGGGCGTAAACGTGTCATCCGCGTATCTGAAGAGGAAGGACGTTTTACCCACGCTGCTGTTGCCAATGATCAGGAGTTTGAACATGTAATCGAAATTTTGATCTGAAGTATCTTTCTGCCTGTATCTGGCATCTGTTACTGAAGCCATCTAAGAAAATGACAAACATTGAAAAAGAACACATTTAAGAGCAGTTAGTGATTATTTTCCTTAATTGCACACCCTGTGTTTAGCTTCTCTCTCTTCTTTCTAACTAGATAAGCATTATATCTACTGAAGAAAGAGGAACACATCTTCACAACCCCTTTGTAAAGTCTGGCTTTTAATTTCTATTATTCACTTGTACTGGTTAAGATTTTCAAACTCAAGAAATGCACCTGTTGCACTGCTTTGTCTTTAAAAGAATAACAGACAGCTATTGCAAATTTTTCATATACTAGTGGGGAACTGTTCTTTACTCCAATGGCAGGATGCCAGTTTTGTTGCTCCAATAAACTGCAGTACTGCAACAAAAAAATCAAAATCTTTGACAATGCACCGTATCACACAATTCAGTAAGCAGCCACTGAGGCAGGTAAAACTGAGTAATTCCCTTCATGACTATAAAAGGAAATCTGCATTACCATCTCATGAACCACCATCATTCTGTCCATAGAAAAGCTCTTTCTTCAACATTTACAAAGAGAAAAAAACAAAACTTCAGTGACAGGAGGAGACAAAAACATTAGTGGGCAAAAGGAACTTCAGCTGACAATCTTGAATCCATCCAACATCTACCTACTCTCAAGACCATGGTTAAAATAAACAGCATCTGCACAAAACGTGATGGCTCAGTGGGGTTGCAAGCAGCATTTGAATGGATAGGTTATCTGTTTTGGCTGTTGGCAAAGGTGAGAGGTGGGGACACTGGGTGGAAAAACAAAAAAAAAGATGATACCTCAAGGATACCTCCTTCTCCTGTCACCCTGCACTAGATTCAGAAACCAAAAAGCATGGAATCTGAAATATCGAGAGATTTGGAGCTCATCAAGCAACCCCCGGCAGCTCAGACGCGCCGAATAGAGGTGAAAAGACAGGGGCCTGCCTTTCTATTCATTTCTATTCTTTCTATTACCTTCTGCTGTGGTACAGACTAGATTTATCAGGCAGAGGAGAAAAAGGACGCTTGGAAGAATTTACCTGGTAACAGATATGCCAGCTTTTCATCCTTAAAGCTCTGTTTCAAAATCGATCTAGCCCGAGTCAAACAACTTGGCCTTGGCGTCTGAGAGCCAGTCAGAGGGGTTGTGTGAACTGGGGCAACGACAGCAGCTACTCATCCACCAAACTAGGACATATATTATTCATTTGCTATGTCAAAAAGCAAAGTCTGAGTGGAGACGGAAGTCTTTTCTCCCCCCAACATCCGAAGAAGTAAGTTAATCTTCCTCTTATCTTGGGATCAAAGATATCTTTGGGAACAAAACTCCCACCAACATCTACTCTGAATGTTTGCCCGAATACTTTCCTCAGTCTCATCCACACACAGAGCTTCACTTGCTTGATGGAAGAAAAACTAGTTTGAAACTTAGTGTAGTTAAAAGGCTATAAACTAAAATTCTGTCCAAAACCAATTTAAGCTGGATTATCAATTTAACTTAAATTCCCAACAGAGGGGAAACAAACCAAAACCAACTCAGTTTAAACTTAAGTAAAATATTTATGACTATTTATCTCTGGTGAAATACAAGCAGTTTTCTCACACAGACAAGGTCTGGTGCAGCAGATAGTTCGTTCATAGACGGTTTCTGAAGAACTTTAGCAATAGCTCAGTACTCAATAGCTCCAATGAATGCAACAAAATCTTCCCACAAGTGAGTCTGTATAGGATACAGCAAAACTCTGATACATACAGGTCTTAACTTCAACTGCTATTAAATAAGACTAAGGTTCTTTGCAAGCACTCCAAAGAGCCTAAGCACGCATTTTCTTCTGACTTCTGTATCAGAAAAAATGTTTTTATTCACATCTTGGGAGTCTTAATAGGAATTTTTAAAATGAAGAATTCAATACCTACTGACTTCCATGCACATGCTCAGGGAAATGCATACACTACTAGTTTCAAATAGAAAATTCAGCTGCAAAAAAAAATGAATCCAAATGATTAGTTGATTTGTACCATTACCAAGCAGGAAGACAGAGACAAGTTTTATATTTGAGTAATTTATCTTCCTCTCATATATATGTGATTTCCACAAATGCCATTGAAAACACATGTGCAGTTGCTAATGCGGAAAAAATACTTCTCCATTCTGCTCACTGAGGCTTTAAAAAGTGACATGCTCTCATCACTTGAAACCTCGTCATTTAAAGACTTACAGGTTGACCTTTAACAAAGAAGTATTCTACTAATTATATAGGAATCAGTATCTTCTTTCTTCCACTACCTTCATGGAATCCATCCACACACTCCACGACAATCTTGTAAATGAAACACTGCTGCTTCCATTTACCCCCTAGATTGCTGTAATCGAAAGTGTACCTGACTGCAAATGCTACTTTCAAATATCAGTTAAAAAAGTAATTACAGAATGTGACCAACTAGAGCAGCTTTGTTAGAAGCACAATGTGGAAAATAAGATCAAATGATACTTGGACAGAAAGTGGTGCTGTTGTCATAGAAGCACAACGCTCACTGCCTTGGGCTCGCGACTATGCTACACTGAAGATGCTGCAGCTCAGTTCACGGAATCATTACAGGCAGGGCCAGAGCACGAAATTTTCAAAGGCAAATTCCATCTCCTTGCTTAAATTTCACTTTTCCCTCTCCCTTCCTCTGGTCAATACAGTGAAAGTGGAAGGACAGCCGTACTAATGATTGCAGATTGTTAGTGAAGTTGTACTCAACAAACGTTTGGCCTGAAAACATTCACAGGGCTGCCCCAGAATTTGTGCTTGATTCCTCAAGCCAGGAATCAGCAGACCTCTCTCCTAATTCTCATCCTTCCCTTTCTCTCACCTACTTGTTGTCACACCCCTGTTCCAAGCACTCCCTAGCTATGCCAGTGCTAAGGACTGCACAGTGAGCTGGTTCAGGGAATAGATCCCCATTAAAAATAATTCCTCCTAACACTTTTCCTCTTTTGCAGGGCTATTTTTTTTTTCAGTTGGGTCAGTTTTTTCCTTCAGGGAGCCAAGCTGAGGGGAGTGGGCAGTGGGAAAAGATGGCAGTTGCTGTGCTACCAAGAGAAAGGTCCGTGTAATCACACCTCCTGCCAGCCCCGTGCAGAGATTCAACCCCAGCAGCAGAGAGAAAAGCAGAGCGAATGTCGGACAGCTCCCAGCAAACTTGTCAAAAGAGTGTAAAACAGAAGCTTGTGATAGTTTCTATTTTCATTGCCTTGGAATAGGCCTAAAAAAATTCCTCTACAGTAAAGATTTAGCTTCATTACAAAAACTCCATTGTACGCAAGAAGAAAAGCTGCCAATCAGAACGTCATTGAAAAAACCTTAGTACAAGACCTTGCATCTTTTGGTTGTTTGCCTGGGTAGCCCATTTCTCTGTAGGTAAAAGCATACGATTATGGACAACTTAATCTCCCTACGTGCTTTAGCAATAGAATCAAAGTCTCAAACATTCCCAGTTCCTGCAAGTTTTGTGAGACTAGGCCATTTTGTAGATACAAGATACCTTATTATTTCTGTATTGCAGAAAAAGTCTGCAGTGTGAGCTCATCTTTTATTAGACAAAGAATCCACTTAGGAGGAAGATGCTACAAATGCTCTAATAGCAATAAAAATCTTTAACCAGAGCTTAAAGATCAAAGCTTTAATCAGACACCAAAGAATGCATTCCTCACTCAAGACGTCTCTCCAGCCTTAATATTCTACTTTGGTCTAATGCAGTTTAAAATGAAACCTGTCACCCTAAGACACACCTCCACAGGAAATCAGCCTTCACTGCTTTCAGTGCTCAATGAAATGTATCATATAGATGGTTCCACCCAGCTGCATTCTTTAAGTTTGATTCTTCACTACAGTGTTAGTTACACAGTTTCATAGTGTAACATGAACCATCAAAATGTTACTGCTCTTACAAATCAGTAAGATTGGTCAACTGCTACCCCAGCTCTTCAGTATTTACTGCCTACAGCCAACTTCTATGGACTAAACTGATGGAGCTGGAAGAACTGGGTAGAAATCAATCAGTATATCAAATCGGTATAACAAACGTTGACTTAAAAATTCATTTCAGTCATTATCATTCTGCCTACAAACTAGTAGCTCTTCTAGATCTGCTCACAGACAACAAACAGTAAATCTGAGCATTACCTGGCAAGTTTAGCCTTCTCTCTACTAGCAGCCACATGTGTCTGTTCGCAGACATGGATGTTTTCATGTCCCACTCTCTCTCACAATATAGCAAGGAAGAAGTCTGAATTGCCTTTGGCAAAGGGCCCTCCTGACTGCTGTCAGTCACTTCAGTCAACAGTGAAATGTGATCGTGTTGATGGAACTTAAAGCTACACATAAAGAAATATTTGCACTTGCAACATGCCATTCCAGATCTTAGGACAGCACGCTAGCCCAGGCTGGGTCCTGCCTAGTTTTATGTATGTTCAGGAACCGAGCCTCCACTGTTTTGCCTGATATACTATTTTACCAGCTAATAAAACTGACAGGAACCAATCCTGTATTTTACAGTCAAAATTTCCTTTTCTTACTTTCATTTTACTATTCCTATGTTCCAGGGCTCAAGACTAGCAAATAAATAAGCAAAAAAAAAAAAAGATAATAAGAGGTTATGACTACCAGTTTAAGAGAAATTAGTGGTAGCAACAGGCAACAGGAGAAGGGACACAGCTGTACTTTTCAGACTCCTGGCTATCCATAGTTACTGATGAATGTGTAAGGAAAACAGGAGGTTAGATACAGTCACTTCATGAAAACAAAAATAATGAGGCTCAATAAAGGCAGAAGTAGGAAAAACTATACAGCCCTAAAGTCAAAAGATCATCAGCCTGCCAAAGCTCTTCTGGAAACGGAGGACAGGAGCATTGCAGACACTTCTGAAGATAGTACAAAAGACAATGGAAACCATTCCGTAAGTTAGGCAGTAGGGAAAAGGGGAGGAGGGAAGGGCTAAACCCAAAGATTCCTTTCATCCCCAGTATTTACCGCTTAGCAGTAATCCATGAGAGAGATTATTCACACACAGCATAACTTATTTTCAAAAGATTTAATACCTCCTTTTTTCCCCCCACATATATTAAGAAGTGTACCTATATTAAAAATAGTCTAGTTCACAAACTACTAAGTCACTTCTCTGTTACAAAAATTCACTCCTTTATGTGCTCTGTCATCTGAAACAAATTTTTTTGTTGTTCTTTTTCTCTTTTTCAGGAACTAAATTAAATCTCGAATCAGATTTCTATTAAGTAATGGAATTTTTATGGCCAATGTATGCTGCCCTAAGAATAAAGCTCATAAAGGAAATACGGCCGTGACCTTAAGGAGACTTATACAAATGCTAGCACTACAAGAGAGATTTAGCAGAAGCAGAAAACATATTATAAACAACTAAAATAACTGCTAATAAGTATTGCAAGCAAAGATAGTTACCAATTTAGATCTATAATCCATGAGACAGATGGAGGCTTTGCTGTGAGTATATGAATCAAGAGTGGTCACACTGTTGAACCTGCGATGCAGAAGCAAAAGGATTACTATGTTTACGATAAAGATGGATAATGAGAATATTACATAAGAGACTAATGAGTAGATAGGTTAGACTACGAAATCACTACTGCATAAGGGCCTGAACTTCCTTCACTGGGGGAAAGCCCCATAGTACACAAAGAGAACAGAAACAGTGTTCGAGTTAGCGACAGATATTAAGTTAACAGTAGATATTTTGATTTCCCTTTAATAAATTTTAAATCAATGGCTCATCTAGATTAATTCAAAATTTAATTTCCAGATAAGTTCTAGAAGTGGACACAAAACCTCAGAAATGATTCATTACACATTTCCTGCAGAAAGGCAGCAAAGTAAATGGAACCAAGGAGCAGCTGAAATACATCTGTATGTATTTTTGTTCTGCGCAAAGCCTGGGTCAAAGTCTACTCAGCTACTGTGCTGCAAAGGCCAATTACAATAGGACATGTAAACGGCTGCAACTCCCCTTAACAGCACATCTATGTAAGAATAATTGCCTTAAAGTAATAGTTATTCTAGATTTAGGGCAGGAAAATATAACAGCATTTAGTCCTCTTTTTCATAGCTAATATAATCTAAAGGCTAACTTTGCCCCACTGCTTTCCTTCTCCAGTAAACAAGGGAAAACCGCTGTTTTGTTGTCCCAACTTACATTATACCGCCTTATGGAGACTGCTGAAGCACCCGGACAAATTCAGCCCTTGTGTAAATAAGCCGCAGCTACCTCCTCTAGGCCAGAATTTGGATCAACCAAGGACAAGTTCTTTCACACAATCCACTGACAACTGACAGTCACTCACTTGGCACACAAAACGGCTCCATGCTCCTGCCCAAACTATTACACATTTTTCCATATTGATTACATTTCCCTGTGTCTTCATAACCCTGGTCTCTGCAACGGCTCATTGTTTTTTGGACAATCTCTCGTTCCCACTTCAGCAGCGTTCACAGTTTCAGGAAACTTGGTTTTGAAGCTTCATCCCAATAACTTAATTGCTAGATTGAGAACAAAAATAAGTCAACAGAAAGCAAAGAGGAAACACAAAAAAACCCACCTTTTTTGTAATTTTAGAAATGGGACCCTCTCATCTTCACATGGAAAACTAAAATTGATTTTGCTGTCCAGAATCAAAAACTATCATTTATTAACGAGTCCAGAAGTCTTGGCTATTAGACGCGTGTAGTGAATTTGCTCCGAAATTCACATGTTATACGTGACTCCAATATATGCATGAAAGTTGTAGGATAAAATCCTTTAAGAAATAGCGGAGTTATTTATATCACCCGTTCAGATTTGGGAGCAGACACTTTAAAGAGTCTGCTAATAATTTGCTGGAGGTAGAACAAAAGAGGTCAAGAGTCTTTGGATATCATCCCTTTCCATCAACTCTCTGACTTTACAATTACATTTTGGCACGCAGCAGGCTGGGATTGTTGTTAGAAAGATTTCCTTGAAACAAATAGATCTTCCCCTGCCTGGAACCATGCCTCTCCCATTTCCTGCCTAAATGGGCAATATCCTTATACTCCATTTTAGGGCCATGACAAAACTCTCAGGAAGAAAGTCATAGTTAGGCTAATTTTACAATGGTGAAAATTTAAAGAAATAAAAGTTTCTACGTTTTTACTCATTTCTGAGTGATTTTATTGTGGCTGTTTTATTTTCACTTGGTTTTGTGCCTGTTGACAAACATGCTACACCAGAAGATACAGAGAGAAAGATTTAACAGCACAAAGTTCCCCCCTTCCAAAGGAGAACTGCTAACAGAGTCCAGCTCAGCTCCCTCCCAACGGATGCAGGGAACGCAAGAAATTTACATCCTCCATATGCCCCGGGCGGTAAATTCAGAGTAGATTTCCTCAGCTGCCTTAATATTCCAGTAAGCCTGGAAACCCCAGGAAACCAGCTGTTTTCTGGAGTTACAGACCTCCTGCTAGCCAAGGCTGACCCTGAGCCTAGCCTTGTCTCCAGAGAACAGTGAGAGCTGAAAAGGTTGATTGCTGTTACAAAACACATAGTCATTAGAGCACTTGCTTCCTGTTGCAAACATTACAGCGATGGTTGAGATAACGGATTTCAAACCCAGTTTCATCAGCTCTCCGGCTCTACATTTCTGCCTCAGTTTCCCCAAGTATAAAATGGAAATAATTAAATACTTTGAGTATTTCATTATTGACTACACTGAAGTACTTCTGAGTAGCAGGATGACATGAAAACGCTCAGAGCAATATACAAGATGAATTCGTATTAGCTCTGCTACAACACATTTAACTCTCTGCTGATCTTTCCCCAGCCAGGGGGCAAGAAGTAGCTAATTTCTGCATCAGGAAGAAAGCCCCTGCACAGAAGAAGCAGTGACAACGCCCTCTCAATGCAGTGGACGATAAACCAAGTTCAGATATATGAGGAAATTCACACTATTTTGAGATACTGACTTAGACCATATGCAAATTCAGGTAGACACCACCCCATAGGGATGCCTGAGACATATTTACAGATTTTTCTGCATGACCAGGAGGTCTGAAACCTTTCATTTATAAGAAAAGTGAGCTGGCATGCTGTCCCAGTCAGGTGACTCGAGATTGGTATTGCCTTGTAATAACCATTTGTGAATCAGAATCGCGTGGAGACAAGGCCAGCTCAGGATGCCTCTGCAGTGCAGATGAAGTTGTATTTTGCTGCCTTTCGTCCTCATCCCCAAAGCAGAAAACTCATGGTGAACAAGTTAGTTAATTTCTCTATGCTGCGATGTTCTCCATGCTGTGAAGTAAACCAGCTGCTAACTGGGACTAGGACACAAGTGCCGTGACAATTCTCACATTTTAATTAGCTAATATCCCCAAACATAAGCCTTACTGCTTATGCCAAAGACCAAACACTATCATACTGCAATAAGCTAAACATATATTTACAAGAGCTCATTAAGTACTGCTGAACTTTAGGCAGAAGTTTGGTGGGTTTTTTTGTTTTTGTTTTGTTTTGTTTTTTTTACAGGATGGAGTATAGCTGAAATTACCATTTCAGGACATTTCTCAATGTTAGCCATTGAGAAGCGCCTGATAAAGAAATACTTCCTCAGCCTTAGCTAGTAACAGACAACAGACACAGACCTACTGGGGGAGGTTAGGAGGGCACGAGTTCCCTTCCCTAGCATCCCACCAGCCTCCGTGATGTAAAACCCCCACAACACATCGCGCTATTAAGTAGCTCTATGATCTACACATTCTGATTTCGGGCTTCATCAGATCATGGTGGGGGGGGGAGTAGGAAAAGCTATTTGAAACACGTACACATCAAATAACATGAAATTTAAGGGACAACGACAACTCACATGCTGATAAATATATTGCATACATTCCCTTGCTACACCTAAGATGTATCAAGGAGGACTACTGCTATTAAAAAATAAAAACATTTAAGACTTCTCAATTTATTACCTGAAAATGTAGCAGATCTGCAGAGAGGGCAGTACAGTTCCGTTAAAATTACAAAGCAGTTTGATTTAAAGATTGTCTTATTTGCCTCTCGTCTGACTTCTATTACAAATTGTCCTGACAAAACCGAGTCCTGAGGGCAGTGATCACACCAGCCTTTCAGTAAATCCATATATGACCTCTTCCAGGATAACAAGCACAAATAATAAGAAAGAAAAGCTCTTAAACTACACACTCATATATGGCAGAGTACGGATTTAACCTGCACCTACTATAATCGAGTGCCCCAAAGATCTGGGTACAGAATCAGACATAGAAGTTAAAACCGCACTTCCAGTGACATTTCTTCCTTGTACAGATAAGGAAAAGGGGGGGGGGGGCAATTCAAACACAGAAGAGCATTATTTTAACCCAGAGCTCATCAAGGCTACTCTGAAGCCCCACAATTTTATAAGCACAACTGAGGGAGGGCGCAGCACAGACTCAGGAGCAAGCGACGAGGGACAAACCAGAAGACGCGTAACCCCGGTTTTGTCACCAAGAAAGCGTGCACAGAAACCACAAACTCAGGTGCTGAGGCCACAATCTTACGTTGTCGCAGATCGAAGGGAAAATTCAGGTTAAAATTAACTTTTTTTTTTTTTTGGTCATGTTAATCTTAATTTAGGTCAGATCAACCTGATTCACTGCACAAACACACCACTGCTCCTGCCTTCATAAGAAGGGAAGGACAGCACAGAGACAGAACTCGGGAGGCTAAAAAAGGGTGGAAACGGTGGTCTGGGTGAGACTGCCTGCGACCCCAGGGCACGACGTTATCGTACCAGGTCGCAGGACGCTACTGCGCCGCTGGCAGGCACACAGGAGAAAACACGCCGTCTCAGGACATACGGCAGAAACGCCGCTTTGTACTTCGCGAACTGGAAAAACAGGAGGCTTCGTACTTTTTATGAATGGAATTGAGAGCGATTAATCCGTTTGGCTTCACCAGGCAGGCTCGCTCACTGCCGCCTGCTAACAGCAAACGCGCGCCCGTCGCAGCGAGGAACGGGGGGAAGCCTCCTCGTCCGGTTTACAGCAGCTCTCTCCCCTTCAAACTGCAACGTCAACGCAACCGAAATCTCCTGTTTCCCAGCAGTTTGTTTCACCACCGTTCAGCTACGTTGGGTTTTTTTGCTGTTGTCGTTTTTAAGAAGTGCTGCACTTTGGTGAGCAGCAAACAATCGCGCAGAACGACAGGAACTGACCGAAAGCACGCACCAGCTGGAAAGCAGCCTGGCAGGCCTCCATCTCCAAGTCCCCCCTGACACTCAGAGTATTTTAAACATGAAACAACGTTATTCCGCCTTTCATGCTGAATAAATATTCCTTTGGTGGGAGCGGGGAGGAGTACAAATGCTCTCTAATACACTTTCTGCCTAACTGTTCAACAGCCTTCTGCCATACGCATCACGGGCAGGAGCCGGCACCCTCACGACGCCGGCCGTCGCTATCGACGGCTTCGTGCGGCGTTTTGCGGGCAGAGGACGCGGGACTCACAGTTTAGCT